ATCGCACGGTTACAATTGTCTAGTAGTGTTTTATTTTTTATTTTTTATCTACAAATCGAAATGATTTGAAATTTGAGGGTATTTGCATCTTATTGAGGCGTATCAAATAAAAATATAAAAAATATTATTCGTGAAAAATAAATCGACCAAAATACCCCTAAAACTTTTTGGGGGTAATTTGGTCAATTTTTTTCATGTAAAATGTTTTTTTGTATAATTTTCGAATATTCCTATATTTTTGATGAATACATGTTCTAAATTTCAGGTCATCCCGATTTGTAAAAAAAAATGAAAAATGAAACACTATCGGACAATCGTGACTGCGCGATGAACTTTGGACCGTGATGGGGGTAGGTAAAATCACTGTTTATTTTTACTTATAGGTGTTGCGTAGTGTTTTCCATATATATATATATATATATATAAAACATATTCATGTAATATAATATATGTATAATTTATTGATAATCTCTAATATATTTTATTATGTAATATATTTTATTTATATCATAAATATTTATAATATTATATATAAATAAAAATATATATTAATAGAATAAATATAAAATACAATATATGACATATTTGTAGCATTTGTATAATGCATTTCTCGAAAATCATGTTTGAGGCATTTGTATGACATAAAATTTTGCACACTCTCTTCATTTCAATAATCAATCCAAAAAAAAACAAAATTCAATTTGAATCTTAGATATGAGTAAAATGAGTCCCTTCCAATAATGAATCTAGGCCATTCATTTGGTGAATTAAAGATCTTAGCCTTTACAACTCAAAATCATTTTTTTCCTTTTTTAACAAGAAAACATGCAATGGTTGCATAGTATTATTATTCAATAACTTTAAAAAGCCATTTTAGGACCATTTGTTTGATCCGAATTTTAAAATATACACTCTTTTCATTTTAATGAACAATATTAAAAGAAAAAATTGAAAACGCAATTGAGAAAGTATTTTTTTATCCCAATTAACCCATACCATCCATTTTGGTATGATGCTTGGATCTATACCTTGGAATGTTCTTTTTTATTTCTAATTTTTTTAGATAATTTTATGGGAAAATATCCTCGTACTCCTTATTTTTTGTTTTCATATCTCAATAGACCCAAAGATTTAAAATATATCTCCTAACCCCCTAACTAACTTTACCCACTTTTATCTTTTTTTTTAGCCCTAACAAATATAAAGAAGACATGCTCATTCTAAACCCTTCATCTCTTTACGTGACATATTCCTTCCAAATTTTCTCTCTGTAACATTCAACATATTTGTCTCACCAACAGGGGAGCGAAAGTGTGAGAGATACAGGGAGAGAGAGTGGGAAAATAAGTAGAGAGAGATTGGGGAAAATGGTATTTAGAAAGGATGTCTTTCTTATATTTGTTTGGGGCACAAAAATAAGTTTAAAGAGGATAAGGTAAGCTTAGGGGATTAAAAGATAAAAGTGCAGTCTAGGGCCATGCAACACGGACCGAGGCTATGCAATTTAGGGTCGTGCAGCATGGATCGAGGCTGTGTAGCTTAGTGTCGTGCAACACGGACTGAGGTTGTGCAGTTTTAGGGTCGTGCAGCATGGACCGAGGTTGTACAGTACGGATTGAGGCTGTGCAGTTTAGGGTCGTGCAGCACGGATCGAGACTGTGCAGTTTAGGGTCATACAACACGGACCTAGGTAGTGCACTTTAGGGTCATGCAGCACGGACCGAAGCTGCACAGTTTTGGATCGTGCAGCACGGACCGAAGCTGCGCAGTTTTGGATCGTGCAGCACGGACCGAGGCTGTGCAATTTGGGTCGTGCAACACGGACCGAGGCTGTTCAGTTTATGGTTAGGCAATACGAGCCGGGGCTATGCAGTTTAGAGGCGTGTAGCACGGGTCGAGGCTATGCAGTTTAGGGTCGTGTAGCACCGACCGAGGCTGTGCAGGTTAGGTTTGTGCAGTAGGGATCGACGGTGTGCAGTTTAGCGTCGTGCAGCACGGACTGAAGGTTTGCAGTTAGGGTTGTGCAGCACGGACCGAGGCTGTGCAGTTTAGGGTCGTGCAGCATGGACCGAGGTTGTGAAGTTTAGGGTCAGGCAGCACGGTCCAAGACTGTGCGTGTAGTACAGACCAAGGCTGTGCAGTTTAGGGCCTTGCAGTAGGACTGAGGCTATACAGTTTAGGGTCGTGCTGCACGGATCGAGGCTGTACAGTTTAAGGTCATGCAACACAGATTGTGGCTATGTAGTTAGGGTCCTGCAGCACGGACCGAGGCTGTGTAGTTTAGGGTTATGCAGCACGGACCGAGGCTGTGCAATTTAGGGTCTTGGAGGACGGACCAGGGCTGTGCAGTTTAGGGTTGTGCAGCACGGATCAAGGCCGTGCAGTTTAGGATCGTACAACACGGACCAAGGCTGTACAGTTTAGAGTCGTGCAGCATGGACCGAGACTGTAGAGTTTAGGGTTGTGCAGCAGGGACCGAGGCCGCGAAGTTTGGGGTCGTGCAGCATGGACCAAGGCTGTGCAGTTTAGGGTCGTGCAACACGGACTAAGGTTGTGCAGTTTAGGGTTGTGCAGCACTGACCGAGGTAGTGCTGTTTAGGGGCGTGCACCACTGACCGAGACTGGGTCGCCATGTAGGTGGCGCTCCATGGGGAATAGGTTTATCGATGGCAATCCAACTCCCTGGGGATAAAATGGTTAAGGCCATACACCAGCAAACGACTCAGATGGAGAAAATGGCCCAACGACGGATGGCGAACGGAACCATACTTCACTAGGGCTTAGGGGGGCAAGCATGGCTCCTTGGGGTGAAAGATGAGACTCTATGGATAATTGGCTTTCGACACGTAAGCCAACTCCCTAGGGATAAGATAGCTTGGTGTGAAACAGACCCACCAGAAATTGAAGAGGTAAGATTGACCCTAACTCCACTGGGGATAATGGTCTGCAGTATGGGCGTGACTTCTATGGGGATGAGGAATAATGGCCTGCTCCTGACTCCATGAGGGATGATAGGACACGGCTCTGGTGCAGCGGCCTGGGTGCAACTGCACTGGGGATGACAAGTCACGGCTTCAACTGGAAATGGGTGACAATAGATGGCTTGAAATACAGTTGGCACTAGGTGTACCAATAATTGTTTCTTGTGAGTGTTCAATTGGCACTATGTTCTCAAAAACACAACCGACACTGTAAACAAGCCGTGACATTGTTTGAACACAACCGGCTCTAAGTAAATCGGCACTAAGGTCGTTTAAAATTCACCCGACGCCAAGTCAACTGGCACTAGGGTTGTTTGGAATTGACCCTATGCCAAGTCAACCGGCGCTGGGCATGGAATGATACTTGAGTCATGACCCGAGTCTGACCCGTTTCGGCCCATTGTCGTTCGGCTTCCCTTGGACGCGACTGGGATTCTCAGTTTGTGAGGGTTGTTCGAGGGTAGCACAGGCTACAAAAGGGGGGCAACACCTCGTTTTCTTCACTTTTCACCAAGGGTAAATAAACTTAAACAAAAGTTTTCTTTACAAGTGAGGAGAGGGTGCCTGGATGAAGTTTTGGCTAGCAGTGGCATTCTCGGTGGTTTTTGCTGTGATGGCCTTCGGCGAGCAGACTTTGCTAAGGATTTGGTGAAGTTGCAAAAGAAGTTTTTAGCATAGAGGAATTTCTAATGGAGGGAAGAGCTCCGATCGTGCTATTTTTTTTAGGGTAGACGAGGCGAGAATTGCAGTAGTGAGAATTTTCGCAAGTTTTGAATGATTTGTTCGGTGGTTTTAAGGGCTTCCCGGGGACTTGGGGAAAGTTTGCAGAAGTTTTTGGTGAGGTTTTGGTGAAGATCGCACCAAAACGCAGGAGAGAAAGTTTTTTAGTGGGTTTTTTCGACTGTGTAGGGGAAGTTTCGACGGGAAACCAAAGGGACAAACGGTTGAAGGGAAGGTGAACCGTTGCAGGGAAAGTGTACGGTTACCTCTTTCGTGTGTCAGGCAGAGCAGCGAGACGTGGTGACGGTTGGCATTCGCTGGTGTGTCAGGTGGCGTCGAAGGACATGGAGACAATTGCCAGTGGACACAGCTGAGTTCGAGGTGTCACGACTAGATTTCGTGGCACGTGTGTGAGATCCGATCACAGCCGGCACTGGCCTTTGGAGGACACAACTGGTGTTGGGCATTGACAATCTCAACTTACGCTGAGTGTTGACAGACTCAGTCGGCGCTAGCTGTTGGAACGCAACCGGCATTGGGCATTGACAAGCTCAACCGGTGCTGAGCATTGGCAGACACAGCCGGCGCTAGCAGACGCAGCTGGGGCCAAGTATTAGCGGACATAGCAGGCGCTAAGTATTAGGAAACATAACCGGCATTAAGTGTTGGCAAACTCAGTCGGTGCTAAGGGTTAGCAAACGCAGCCGGCACTAATTATTAGCGAAAACAATCGATGATACGTATTAAGAAA